CATTAAAGATAACATCAGGAGAACCCAGGCTTGTACAGTGAGGCATTTATCAACTTCACAGTCCAGAAGACAGATCAGGAACGCAAATATTTCCTTCACCATTGTTGATGGAAGCTACGAATCTAAGAAAGTGACTATCCTAGTCTTTCCACATTCTCAGATCACGTTTTCACTTCAATCGTAGTCTTTTCCTCTCCATTATGAATTCTATATGATTTTAGAAAGTGGTTTTCTCTTATTCCAATTTTGAACATTACAATACCAAATAGTAAAAATGGTAAAAAGAGACACATTCAAATTAAACTCTATAAAAACAAATTATTTGGTTACAGCACCAAAATGTCACTTTTTAAAAATAGTCTGTGGTATTAACATATACTGATGTTTAACAGATAAGTTAAAGTATCTGTAAAATATTGGTTCAGGAATGTTCAGCAAAGGATACATCTATCAGTCAATACCAAAGATTAAATTAAAAAGCACAAGATAATGGATAAACAAAATCTATATTTGCTAAAATAGTGTTTGTAATTATTACTAATTAGATGGCTTCCTGCATGTTTTCACTCAAGATGGCTGCTGGGGCTGAAGAGGTTTATGAATATTTGCTCCAGGCAAAGGACATGAAGAATTATTTACGTCCATATAAGAGAAGTACAAGAAGAACTATACCACATTTTCAAGTCAAACAAGGATTCAAGTACAATGTACTGTAAACCATGGGCTATTTACGTCACAGCCTTTTCTAAATAACATTCAAGAGAGAGAGCTCCAAGCCAGGTACTGATTTGTACAAGTATATAAGTCATCACTTGAGATGAGCTGTCTATGCCTTAGGAAGTGGACACAGGTACATGATAAGCTTGAAACAAGCTTCTATGATATATATCCATTACCATATGTGACATTTACTTATGTAAAAAGATTATTTGCATATGTTTACGATCTTTTGTCATCTGATTAAGAAGAATGTCATAGCTACATGCAGAACACCTGCACGAAAATTTCGAACATTTATCCAAGTATACCTTGTTACAAATATATTATAAACTAGTTATAGAAAGTTGAAATTGCCAGTTAAATCTACTGTAATAAAGTTTCATCATGTAGTACTTCAGAATTCTATATTCATGATAATGTGATATATTAAAATAAAACTGATTACAACTTTGAGCTATCAAATACGTCCACTAAACTGGAGATTCGATCAGGATATCGATAACATGGTAGTACTTAAACTCTTACTTAATTGAGTCGATGTTGAACAGAATAATGAGATTGAACACAAAATTAACAAGCTTTATTAGATGTGAAACACAAACACAGTATATATATGTGTGTGTACTTATGGGTATTGAACAGTAGATTTTATGGATGTTTTCCTAGGTCGAGATGATCTACCAAACCAACTTCTATAATGTTCCAGCCCAGACTAACAAATCCAAGGTTTCTTAGTTTCAAGGATATCTCGTATTTTCCCAGTGCGACATGCGCAACCACGTGATTGATCATTCTCATTACACATAGGTGGAGATATAGCTTGTAGGTAGCATCTGAATAACTGTTGAATGACATTGCTGTAGACATTCTTACACAAAGTCTCATTAAGCATTGTTCTCCACGGATGGTAACAACTATTAGGTACTCCAAGAATAACAAAATTAACTTGAAATGATCAACTTAATAATTTTCTTGATTACATGTTATTTGAATTCTGCACATATTCAAAATAAATATCATAAGACTACAAGAAGATAGAAATTTATGGTATATTCTATGAGTTACTTATGCCACTGACTATTCTAAATAGCATATTTAAGGGCAAGAACTCTCGCTTTGTACCAGTTTGTACAAGTATCTGGATCGCCGCTTGAGATGGGCTTGCCCAGCACCACGGAATGAACACAGACACAGTGCCAACTTTTATACAAGCTTCTATGAAATAACCATTGTCATATGTAATACTTATCTGAGGAAAAGGATCAGCACATACTTATGATCTTTAGACATGTGGTTAAGAAAAATGCCATAATTGCATGCAGAACACCTGCACAAAAAATTAGAAACATTATCCATATATACCTTGCAACAAATATATTCTTAACTAGTTTTAAAATGGTGACATTGCCAGTTATCTATACTGTGATAACGTTTCATCATGGAATAGTTCATAGTTCTAGATTTGTGATAATATATTTGAGTGTTGTAATAAATATTTACACATTATTGATTAGCGTTAATCAGTAATTCATATTTAAAAGTTGTAGAACTGAAACAAATGTAAATTCGTTTTCGACGTTTTTCTGGAAGAGTAAAGTATTTTTTGTAGCTTTATAGAAGGTTCGTTCTGTTATTTATATGATTTTGCCTATTTTGTTTTGACCTTTAATATTTTCTTGAAAAATTTAGAAGCACATTGAGGTAAAAATAAGTTTTAACTTAAGATATATTAAGTCAAGGAGAACATCAGATGTCATTTAAGAGCACCCACAAATCCCCCAACTTTCAGGATGACCCCATTTTTCTCCCGTCATTAGTGCAGCTAATATTTTTTGTTCTCCACCAGCTTGTGAAGTCACCGTACTAAAAGTCAAAATAAAGCCTCAGATTTCATTTTAGAGCACCTTAATACACCCAGCTTCCAGGGTGATCATTGCTCATTTTTCTACATTATGACGGCAGTTTCTGGTGTGTCACCAACTTATGGAGTCATTCCAGGAACCTGACGTACCAGCTATGATATACTGATTCACTATTTGTTTTAAGACTAAAGATTTTGCATGCTTCAAAAGTTTAGACGCTTAATATAATAATAATATCAAAGTTCACAACGTCACATGTAAAAGTAATTTCAGATAGACACCAACTAGTTTTGAAGTCTGTTAAACAAAAAACCTTTTCAGGAGCCTCCGTTAGATGAAAGATGTTATTTTTATACATTTTCGGTTTGAATTAGGCTAGTTTGTACTGATATAAAAGAATTGTAAGACACAAAATAATAAATAAATAAAAGAAAGAACAAGTTCCTATTTTGAAAAAAGAGTGTACAGCAAACTTGAGGTTAGCAATCACAAGACTTTCAAGAATCCTCAAATGTATTTCATTCTTAACTAAACTCACTATAGTAAATTAAATAATAAATATAGCGTAACGTGATTTTTATACACACTTCTAGATCTTAGGCTTAAAGAATGGGAATATTAATTACAAGCAAAATAAAATATTTTTAAGGTACTAAAAAGTGGTGATTGAAGTAAAGTAAAATAGTTTGGTAGTTTCCAGG